AATCACGTACGGGAAGCAGGAAGGCGCAGAATACCACAAACATCTTTGCACCAATAGAAAGATCCCACAAAAGAAAATGTTCCACTTGACTGGCCAATCACATTGAACACTTTGTCTTCAAAGGCATCACATCTTTGGGTAAAATCAGTCTGTCTGTTAACTTTCGGTCATCATCACTCATGGACGGGCTGCACACTTTTCTAGTCGCTCTCTTAGGTAAGTCTATGGAGACTTATTTTGGATGTTTTAATTACGCTCTCATTGTTGTTGTGTTGAGCAGAAATCTGCCCCTGCTGTAATGTGAAATCATCCAACACGGAGCACATTTCAATCTGCTTTTACCATTTTCTCTGTTTTCCAGGAGTTGCATCCTGCAGTCATGATTGGATCTCTGGATCAGTGACAGTCAGACCAGGAGACAACATCACGCTTTACTGTGATTGTAAACTATCAACTGGAGTATACATAGTGTGGTTTAGGAACTGCTCTCATGAGAACCAGCCTCCTCTCGTCCTTAAAGTCAAATCATTATACAATCTGGACAGTGACACTAAAGATTATCTGAAAGTTCTTCATCATTTTCAATTTGTGAGAAACTCTTCTTCTCATTCTTATGACCTGCTGATCATGAACATCACTGATTCTGATGAGGGAATCTACTACTGTGGAACTAAACAGAGTAAAGTGGAGGATAAAGAATTCATTGGCCCCAAAACTCTTTACAGAAACGGAAACGTCACAACAAGGATCTCAATCAGTAAGTTTGCTGCTCTGACTTTGTTCCTGTTAGATCTATGTTGTATGATTTGACTAAACATTTAACACCTTGAAGGAAAATGTACACAGGCTCTATATTTACTTACATTACCGATTAAAATGTCAATATGACGTCTTACAGAAAGATTATGGGAATCAACAACAGACAATATGAAATAAAACAGTATAATGCTTTATACCAGTAATTATATTCCCAAATCTGAGACTTTATGAATCTGAAGAGTTCTCGGTCATCCTTAAATGTGAACTGTAGTGTATTTTTATGAATGTTAATGAGGTTTGGGATCATTGAACATTTTAAATCTGAGGCTCCATCACAATTAAAGGTTGGACATTTCACTTAATTCTGAATTGTTTGGACATTCTTGCACAAAAAATGCCAATATAGTATATATCTTTTTCTGCTCAATGAAAAGTTTGAATTCTTAACAATCTCGGCTGAACTTTATTCAAACAAGTCAAAACAACAGTGTTTTCATTCCTGGTGCTTTATGCACATGTAAAAAGGTTTGTTCAGGAACCAAAGGCCTGTATGTTTATATATTTAATAAAGAAAAACATATATATTTTGTTTGTGTTCTGAACAAAGCTAAAGCATCAACATGACTATTGTGCCAACATGTATCCATACAGTGTTCAGTCTCATCGTTGTGGGTCAGAGTTTAATGACGCTTATTGACACAACTTTGTTTCAGGTTCAGACTGCAGCGATTCTCCGCTCCAGACTCCAGAATGTCTCTGTCCTCTGTGTTGGACTCTGCTGGTCTCTCTGTGTCCAGCTATTGCTGTCCTCTCCTCCGTCTTCTCCTTCATGTTGGTTTATCACTTCGGTCAGAAAACAGGTGTTTTAACTGCTTTGGTTTCCAATCAGATTTTGTTAAATCATTCATGTAAACATTTAGGGAAGCTGTCTTTAAATCTCGTTATTTGCAAACAGATATTTTGAAATGACACTGTATCTTTTTTTGTTTGCAGACAAAGAATCTCAAACTCTCCAGAAGAGACCAAACATGATGGGACAAACCATAGAGGGCCAGGTAGTAGACTGTACCCATTTGGGGTATTTATATACTTTGCAGTTGCTTTAATTCTTCTCAGACACATTTCCATGCTATAAAAGCAAAACAGAAGAATAAGATACTTGAAAATAACAAATGTCTCTTTGTTACTCAGGGTGAAGATGCGTGTTTCACTCGAGTTGTGTTCCGGGCTGTGGAGATAAAAAAACACCAGTAGGCAGAAGATGGACGACACGTTTGTTTCACTCAAGCAGCAACAGAATGAAATGATTTGCATTTCCTCTCGTTTGCTGTTGATGGAGAGTTGTGTGGTTTTTTGTATCGGACAGATACATAAACATACAGTATATATTTTCTTTATTAATCTGTTTAATATGTACTTTTCTAACTTTTCTAACTTTGTATCCCTTTTTATCCACATGCTTATAGCTAACTTGCTTTTATTCTTGATTTGTCAGCAATTCAAGGCAAGGCAATTTTATTTGTATAGCGCTTTTCATACACAAGGCAGACTCAAAGTGCTTCACATCATAACATTTCATACAATAAAGTGAAATAAAATGCAGGAATTAAAAACAGAAAATAAAATTAATAATTAAAATCTTATTTAAATTGTTTAATTAAAGGCAGAGGTTAAAAGTGCAATGTAGGTAAAATTTAGCAGAAGGCGAAGCTGAACATAAGTTTTCAGTCTCTTTTTAAACGTGGTCAGAGTTGGGGCTTAAAGTCTTAAATCTTCAGGAAGTTTGTTCCAGCTGTTTGTTGCGTAGTAACTAAATGATGCTTTCCCATGATTTGTATTTACTCTGGGAATCACTAACAGATTGGTGTCAGAAGATCTTAGTGATCTTGAAGGCTTATGTAGTGGAAGCATATCAGTGATATACTTTGGCCCTAAAGCATGTAGTGATTTATATGTGAGCAGTAGGATTTTGAAATTAATTCTCTGACATACTGGGTTGTACAATTTTACAATATTTTCTTTAAGTATGCAAATAAACAAAATAGTATGAAAGTACTGAATATATATACAAATCTGTGACATCTCATTACATAATGTGATTGCTGAATAAAATAATACGAAGTCCTTGTGATGAGCAAAGATTCCATGTAACTTTTTACTGTCTGTTTTACTGTTCAAACAATAAAAAATATGGAAATGACATGTTCTTTTTTTGTTTTTTGTTCAAAACCATAAATGAGAAAAAGGAAATGAACAGCCGTTTTTCCACTGTTTTATGAATCGAAAACGAAAAACAACCCTTCGTCTTTTTTTTCTATAAAAAAAGAAATGCAAAGCGCAACAGTTATTCCAGAAGAACATTTTGACAGTAAAAGTCAACACAATAGAAGGTTTGTATGATAGAAATTCTCATAGTCAGTCATGCAAGCTTATAGTGCAACATTATAAGATAATTAATGACTATAAATAAACAATCCTGTGCTGATGGGAGTGTGTTAGCAACAGTTATCGACTAGTTCCATGCAGATTCAGTCAGACTCCTTAATTGCACTATTACCACTATCTGCACTTTCATCCCATATACAGTACGAGTCAAAGGTTTGGAAGCGTTTTCTCACTCAATCCAACGACAAAAGTGTGTCCAAACTCCTGACTGGAACTTTTTGTAAAAAATATATATACATAAATATCTATAAAATATATTTTTAAACCTATAAAGCATGTACATGATCAACCCTCACCACATACTAGTGAACAAAGGCACGCTAAGCGCACATCAGGTGAACCTTGTGGTCAAGCCGATAGCAGTGGTGTTGCTCTGCATGCACACAGCTTCACTCCTTGATGACAGTGGGCTCCAGGTCCACAAGGGCCGCTCTTGGGACGTGTTGTCCGGCTCCGGTCTCACTCAGGAAAGTGTTGAAGGAGTCGTCTCCTCCTCCGATGGTCTTCCCACTGGGCCTCTGTCCGTCCGACTGGGTCCCATGCTCCAGGCAGTAGAGCTCCCAGCAGGCATTGCCAATATGGACACCGGCTTGACCAACACGGATGTAGATACTCATGAGAACATTTTTTGGGGTAATTGTAGTAAAGAAACTACAATTATTTTGCACAAGGCCGGCTTGGTTCTTTCACGTTCCAATTTGAGCAAATGGTACTCAAGGAAACTCGTCTCAAGTAAAAAACTGCTAAATTAAAGACTGAATGTCAGAGTCAGAGTCAGTCAGTGGGGGACCGACTCTGTTGATGAGTCCGACTGCCGTTGGGAAGAAACTGTTGGTGTGGCGGGAGGTCTTAGTCCTGATGGACCTCAGCCTCCTGCCAGATTGAAGGGGCACAAACAGGTTTTGGTCCGGTGTGAGAGGGGTCGGCTACCATCTTTTTAGCTCGCTTCAGAGACCTGGAGGCGAACAAGTCCTGCAGGGACGGCAGATTGCAGCCGATCAGGCTCTCTGCAGAGCGGAGGACGGATGTTCCAGCATCTCCTTGCTGACAAACCGTGTAACAAGAAAGGGAAACAGGGGTGCTGCTGGACTGACTGGCTGACAGCGTGACGCGTCATGCATCACAGAGGAAGAGACAGAGTTACTCCACCTACTCTGCCAAAATTGATTTGTGATGGACACACACAATAGACAGAAAATGAAGCAATACCATTGAAAGCTGAGGACACACATACACACGGTATTGCTTACTTGTGTGCATGGGTATCATCCGTGCAACCAGTGTTCAAAAATGAACATCCAGACAGGTTGGTTCAGAGGGGGGCTTGGATGGGCTCGAGGCGGTGGTACTTCTTCTGAGAAGTAACCACACAATACTGAGAGGCAACAACTTTAACTGACAACGTTCTGCCCGCCGTGTGATCAGGCCACAGGAAACCCACAGAGAAAAACGCACATCCGTGCAAGTGGACTACATTTGCAGCTCACACTGCTGCAAGACACACGGATGAGAACACTAATGCAGGGTACCAGCAAGACCTCCAAGAAGAAGGTATGGTCTTCCTACAGCTGGAGAAATACAAGGCCGAGCACCATCAGCAGCAGCTCAGTCACATACAATGAGACGACACATGAAGTACCTCAGGTTGTCACACTGCACCAAATCCAAAGATCCAAGGGCTCTGTCGTGACATTCAGAGAGTATAGTAGACACAGATGAACCGATTGGTATTAGGACTTTTCTTTCACTGTTTGTCTTTCAGTGCATTGTTCTGCTCTCATTGCAAACAGAATACCAGCCTGGACTTCAGAACCAACAAAAGCACGGGTCAGGAGGCCGGGTGGGTCATCTCCTCTCTTCTAGTTTATCATCTGTGTCAGAAAAAAGGTAACTACTGTATGCCGCTCCTTAAGAGCTAAATGTAAGAAATGTCATTGATGATCTACTGAATGAATTTCTACCAGAAAGACACCTGAAGTCTCTTCTTTGGATCCGTGTTTGAGTGTTGATGCACCACGCTGTCTGTACTGATGTTGTATTGATTTCTGCAGCTCCACAACCTGATCAGCAAACACCTCAAAGAAGACAGCATGGGGTAGGTGCAACACAAGAAAGTACTGATTCATGGCAATAAATCAGTACACGGTCACGATTCTAAAGAACAAATGTCAAATTTCAGGATGAAGATGTGTGCTATGCTGCACTGGAAATCCAACAGACATCACACAGACCAAAGAAGAAGTTCTGACTTCAGCACCTACTCTGGCATCAACACTCTACACAAGAATGTAGAGTCTAAAAAAGGAAAATAACAACCACAATTGTTACGTTCCCTGCTCTCAGGCAACGTAACAAAAACAAACACGGGGGAAAATAAGGAAAGTATTAGAGAATAATCAAGAATGTATTAGTTTTAAACATTGTGGCAGCCAAACCAGCCACATGCCTCTTTCCCTCTCCCGATCCCCCTGGATGATGGTTTTAAAGGGGCCGGCGCTGATGGTGCAACCAAACAAGATGGACCCCCAACTAAGCCTTCTGCTGGGCTGCCTGCAGAACACGGAAAAGAAAGATACACAGGCCACGAACAATGGTCAGGGATGACAACATCTAACAATTTGAACATTTGGAGTCAAATAGACCATAGGGAGAAATATGCTTTAGGGCGGGGCTAACTGTGATTGACGGACTACAAATCAATTTCCAACCTATTTTGATTGACTTCTTCCCCACTTACTCTGAGGAGCACTGTAAACTCCTCACATCCCTCCATTTTTGACTGGACTAGGAGTTTTCCCACCTTCAAACCTTTCCCACGGTGTCATTTCTGTTAAGGGATATCGACCATTCTGTCACTTATCTTCCGCCATTTAAATCTGACAGGCAATCCTTATTTATGGCTTGTATATTACCTACAACATGTTTTGCCGAAAATACTGTTTGCTTAATTTCCTCACAACACTTTTAATAAATATAACTTTTTAAAAACCTTTCAGAGAGAAAAACAGTTTGTTAACAGTTAGCTAGAATCCACCCAGACGCTATAGATTTTGTGACCTCAAGAATACATCATGATGGAGCCTCATTCTGTTACACATCATACAGAGCCAAGATGGCTGCTGTTTTCCCCAAGATGTCCTGAACAAACAGAACGAGGTCATATGCCATCTTGATTTGAAATTGATATGCAATGTTGTCATAGTATAGAGAATCCTTCAGATGAAATCAATACCTTATATTTGGTACTATTCTGCAGCTAATGTGACATTCCTTCTAAGAGATGTTTCGGTTAACGGTTTTACTACAAAATATTTCCAACTGTATGCAAAGACGAGGTCAGTCCGCTGGGAGGCTGTTTCACTAATTAAAGACTGAACAGGACCTACAAACAAGAGTACGGTTTACTCCTTAAACAGTTGATTTAGGCCAAGATGCCGCCTCCAGCAGATGGTTGATGACAGTTTAGGATGATGGGGTGCAACAAGTAGGCCACTACCTGGACACACGCGTGTGGAGACAATTTGTCATTGTAAATCTAAAATCCAAAAATTGGTTATTACATAATCAAAATGAATTTCAAAAGTGGGGTTTAAATTAATAACTATTATTTGGAAAATCCTTCTTTTATATAGACTTGCATGAGAGGTCAGATTTAGTCAAACTGCAGCAGCTTGCTGAAATGGAAACAAGTAAAAGTATAAAGTAAAAGTAAATAAACGTTCATGACACAGGATATGGAAACACACCTTCATCCAGGTCTGGTTTTCTTCTCATACAGCCACCAAATAGCAGTCACACAAAACAGTTTATTTGTGGCCAGTAGATCAACAGAGAAACAGAGGCTGAACGGGGAAACAGCATGAAGTGTGGACGTCAATGCAGGTGTGACGGGTAGTGTCAAGGGGTCGGGCTGACGTCATCAATGAGCGCCCTATTTTACGGGCCGTCTCCCGTTCTCTAGCAGTCCGCTGAGAGGAGAGTAGCAGGTAGGGCGCTAACTGGTAGGTTGTTTGTGATGGGGGAAATTGGCAGCTTACAGATCTCAACCTTGCAGGTTTTGCCGGCCGAGCAGAGTCCCTTCGGACGTCGTTGGGGAGGGTTTAGCTCCTCAGCCTTTCCAGGTGGCGCACAAACTGCTGTTTTGCCGTATCCGGGTACGAGTGGCGATTAGCAATTGTAACCAGCTGATATCCTAACATTGTATGCGTCCCGCGCTCGGGTTTTGTTTTGGGTACTTGCCTACTGTTGTTTTTATGTATTTTGAGCGGGGGGTGCCCGATGTGTGGAGGAATAGCGTTGGTATTTTCTTAGATCAGATTTTAGCATGTGGTGTGATATTGCATGAACTGTTTTTAATGCACTTGTTTTGCAAATGCAAAATGTTTTGCTGTTGCGTGAGTAAGTTGCAGTGTGTGTGTGTGTGTGTGTGTGTGTGTGTGTGTGTGTGTGTGTGTGTGTTGCATGTTTATAGGTTGCACGGGTGATTAGATGAACTGGGGGATTCGCTGCCTCCACACAGACGCTCGCCCTACCCTCACCGTGTTTAGGGACCCGGGCAAGTACACAGATTGTTCCGTGATAAGCTGTCAGCCAAATTAGAATAGTTTTACGGTGTAAACCCCCCTACTTGGTGTCACATTTGGCGTTGCTGGCAGGACCAAGGACAGAGACATATTGCTTAAGCACTTTTTGGAATGTATGTTTGTAAATACCGTGTAGCTGTTTCCTTATAGGGTCCATACAATTGTTGATAGGCTTGTGTATTGTGGAGCAAAAGCAGCAGTTTGTGTGACGGAGGACCACTAAGACAACGCTTCCAGCGGTTTTCGGAGAAGACACAGTGTTATCATGGACGAGGAGATGCAAGAACTTCGGGAGATGGTGCAAAGGTTGAAGGCAGATAATGAGCGGCTGTTACAGGAAAGACAGTCCCTAAACCCGGTCCCGGGCTCCTTGACCGCACCTCCCTCTGACAACGATGGTAGTCTTGACTCTGCGCAACTACTCGGTACTCTCGGTATGGAAACCTCTACTAGGTAGCCACCAGTTGTTGAGCATGTGGTGTACATTCCCAAGGATAAGTGTTCCACCTTTACAGGAGAAGGGGAGGTATCGGTGAGGGAATGGATGGATGAGGTGCAGTCAAAATTTCGCACACGTAGGATGTCTATTGTAGAACAGGCTCATTTCATTTATGACCATTTAGGAGGAGCAGCAAGAGATGAAATTAAGTATCGTTCTAGACAGGTTCGGGAAGATCCCAAACAAATTTTTTCCATCCTTCAGACTCGGTATGGCTGTGCAGACTCACCTATTGCTCTATTGCAGAATTTCCACTCTCGGAAACAGCAAGAAGGGGAGACATTGCGTGAGTATGCAAATGCGCTATTCTCTCTAATGGATATTGTTATACAACATTCTCCTGACGGAGTTGCACAGGCAGCTAGCCTCTTACATGATCAATATGTTGAGTTTGTGTCGGATGGCAACCTTAGCCGTGCGCTGAAAGAACTTGTTCGTATTAACCCCGCCTATGATCTCCATGATATCCGTGATGCAGCCGTCCGATGGGAGCGAGAAGGCAGACCACGGGAAGGGAGGCCGAGAAGCTATTCAGTCCCGTCCGTTTATAGCATCCATCAGGGTGCTTCCGGTAGACCCGAATGCATGGGCCCCCATGCCACTTTGAAGGCGGAGGTAGCCGAGCTATGGGAAATGCTAAAAAGTCAGCAGGAGCCGTTTATGCAGTTTTCTAAAACATTGTCGGCCTTAAGCGTCCCTAAGCGCCCTCAGTTTCAATCTAGGGGTGCATTCATCTGTAGGCGGTGTCAACAGCCAGGCCATTTCGCTAGGGACTGTGAGAATGAACGGGCAGCCCCCCAATCTGGACGGGATGGGCCAAGGTTCTCGCAGCCGCCGTCGGAAAACTAACACCCTCTGACGGGCAGAGCCGCCAATCAGAAGGGGTCATGTTAGGCTCGGATAGCATAGTTCAGATCGACCCTGAATCAATCTCTAAGTTGGTACATCCTTGCCCCCATGTTGTTGTCCATATCGCGGGGGTGGGAGTTTCCTGTTTGTTAGACACTGGATCAATGGTATCCACCATAACTGAAAGCTTCTTTATTCAGCATTTCCAGTCGTGGGGTCAGGAGAGGCTACAGTCATGCAGATGGTAGCAGCTCAGAGAGGCTAACCATCTAGACATCCCCTATGTTGGTTACTTAGAGTTTGACGTCACAGTGCTTGGCAAGGTGATTCCAAAACGTGGCATTCTCATTGTTAAGGACCCGCCGCAATCCTTACCCAAACCAGATTACCCAGGTGTCCTGGGAATGAATGTTATTGGTCAGTGTTTCGAAGAACTGTTTGGCCAGCACGGATTGGGCATGTTTGACCTCCCCGCTATTAAGGATGTGAATAGCACCTGGCACCAGGCCTTGCAGTACTGTCATCAAGTGCACCTCACACCACAGGCTGAGAAAGTAGGGACAGTCAGAGTTAGAGGTAAGGCCAGAGTTTGTGTCCCAGCTGGCACCATGAAACTAGTGGCAACTACTTGCTCCCAGGGATTATTTAATCCTCGTGGCTCTGTACTATTCCAACCCCCTGAGAATAGCAATCTCCCCGGTGGTTTATTGTTGGCACCAGCTATCGTAAAGGTCGCACAAGGCACAGTGTACATCCCGTTTGTCAATGTAGGCACTGTTGATATATTTCCCCCCCCCCACCCCCCGCACTAGGGTTGGAGAAGTGGCCCATGTAGAGATTATGAGCCTACCTGACGGCGTTATTGAAATTGAGGGGAGGACGGACCATGGTGTTGTGGCAACGTCCTCGGTCCAAGTTGCTGGAGGGAGATCTGTACAGAATGCTATCACGGACATCGACTTGTCCAGTATACCCTCCCACGAACATGGCACGGTGAGGTCCCTTTTACATAAGTATGAGTCAGTGTTCTCCGCATGTGAGGGTGACATAGGCTGTACAAACCTTATTGTTCATGACATACCTTTGGTGGACAATATGCCCGTAAGGCAGCGCTATCAACGTATCCCTCCATCGGATTACGAGGCCGTTAAAGCTCATATCCACCAGTTGCTGGAAAATCAGGTCTTTAGGGAAAGTAGCAGCCCCTATGCCTCTCTGGTTGTCCTGGTGAAAAAGAAAGATGGCAGCATACGTCCTTGTGTGGACTATCGGCAAGTTAATGGAAAAACAAGAAAAGATGCTTTCCCTCTGCCCCGTATCGAAGAGTCGCTGGATGCCTTGTCGGGTGCCCGCTGGTTCAGTATCATGGATCTGGCCAGTGGGTACAATCAAATTGCCGTGGCAGAGGCCGACAAGAACAAGACAGCTTTTTGTACGCCCTTCGGGTTGTTCGAATTTAACCGTATGCCCTTTGGTCTGTGCAATGCACCAGGCACTTTTCAACGCTTGATGGAGCGAATGTTTGGGGCCCAGCATTTTGAGTCATTACTTTTGTATTTGGATGATGTGGTGGTGTTTTCCTTTACCATAGGGGAGCATGTGACACGCCTGGAGGCAGTGCTGAGTCGGCTTCACCAAGAAGGCCTGAAAGTCAAATTGGAGAAGTGCAGCTTCTTTCAGCCCAAGGTGAAGTATCTGGGCCACGTTATTTCAAAGGACTGAGTGTCCACAGACCCAGATAAAATCAGTGCAGTGGCTAATTGGGCCCCACCCAAACACACATCGGAATTACGTTCCTTTTTGGGGTTCGCTAGTTATTATCGAAGGTTTGTCAATGGCTTTGCTACTCTTGCCGCTCCCCTGCACCGCCTAGTCGCTGAAATGGCGGGGTCCAAAAAGAAAAAGCCATACGGTCGCCCATTCAATGAGGTCTGGACAGACGAATGTGTGAGGAGTTTTCACGATCTGAGAGCAAGATTGGTATCTGCGCCAGTGCTAAATTATGCTGACTTCTCCCGGCCCTTCATCCTGGAAGTCGATGCCAACTACAGTGGTCTTGGAGCAGTGCTCTCGCAGGAGCAGAGTGGTAAGGTGAGACTAGTGGCCTACGCCAGCAGAGGATTGGAGCCAACGGAACAGAATATGACAAATTACAGTTCCATGAAGTTTGAGTTCTTGGCGCTCAAGTGGGCCATGACCGAGAAATTCAGGGAATATCTCCTGGGTCAGAAGTGAGTGGTGTATACGGACAATAACCCTTTAAGTTATCTATCCACGGCTAAATTGGGTGCCCTCGAGCAGCGGTGGGCGGCTCAACTTTCTGACTTTGATTTCACCATTAAGTACAGACCCGGCCTAGCCAATGGTAATGCAGATGGATTATCCCGGCAGTATCAAACTGATGCGCCTGCTGAAGGATGTGGTGCCTTGATGTCGGGCAGTGCCATCCCCCAGATGATAGCACAACTCGACACACAACCGACCATGGAGGTAACTCAGTCAACCGTGTCAGTTTTTCCTACCCATTCTGCTGTAGATCTAGCTGCGTTGCAGGAAGCGGATCCTATCATCGGTCACTTTCTGTTTTTTTGGAACCGGAAACGAGGCCCAGACCAGCAGGAGAGGCACACCATCCCCAAATCAGTTTTGGAGATGCTTCGCCAATGGGAGAGGGTGACAAAGGAGGAGGGAGTTCTGTATCGCCGTGTGTCTAGACCAGATGGCGGGGAGGAAGGACGACAGCTAGTATTGCCTGCTAAACTAAAAGAGGAAGTATTGCACCAGTTACATCAGGGCCAAGGACACCAAGGTGTAGAACGAACAACCGACCTAGTGAGACAAAGATACTGGCCAGGTAAGAATATTGCCAGAACTGTGAACGCTGTACATTGGCAAAAGCGGTCCAACCAAAAGTTCGTGCCTCCATGGGCCATTTATTGGCCTGCCGGCGAAATCAGATATTGGCCATTGACTTTACCTTGCTTGAACCGGCTAGAGATGGTAGAGAACATGTTTTGATAATGACTAATGTATTTTCTGTGTATGACTGTGTATACTTTTCAGTAAAAGTATACACAGGCCATTCCCACTCGAGACCAGCAAGCACCTATGGTGGCCCGACTGCTAGTCCATGAGTGGTTCGACAGGTTTGGAGTTCCGTCTAGGATTCATTCCGACCAAGGGAGAAGTTTTGAAGCGGTACTCATCCAGCAGCTATGTGAGTTGTACGGGGTTCAGAAAAGTAGGACCACACCTTACAGACCGCAAGGAAATGGGCAGTGTGAACGTTTCAACCGTACATTGCACAATATGCTGCGCACGCTGCCAGTGGAAAAGAAGAGGGACCGGACGTTGTACCTCCCACAACTTATCTTTGCCTACAACACCACCATACACCAATCAACTGGTGAGTCGCCTTACCTGCTGATGTTTGGTCAAGATCCACAGTTGCCGGTGGACTTCTTGCTAGGGAGAGTAACAGACTCCACTGCAGGTACGGTGGACCACTGGCTTGGCGAACACCAGAGGCGACTACGAGCAGCCTATGCCGGGGCAAGACATCGTATGCAGGGGGCTGCACAAGGAGAGAGGAGAGACACGACCAAAATGTTGACGAAGGGCTGACCGTGGACCAGTTGGTGTATCTGAGGGACCACAGCGTAAGGGGAAGAAACAAGATCCAGGATCACTGGAACCCAACACCCTACAGAATTTTGAAAGCGCCAATAAATGTTGGATCTGTATATACTGTGGCTCCCGTCGATAACCCTAACCAAACTAAGCAGGTGCATCGAACAATGATTAGACCTGTTCCCGGGAATGCTCACCATATCCGCCCTCCCCAAGATGAGTAAAGAATCACGGTGGAAGCTGCTCCTGAGGAGGAAGAACTTGAAGAAGTGTGGATTGTGAAAGGAAGGCCACTGGCCTCAGAAGACCTCAACCCAGTGGAAGCGGAGCCTCCTTGCAGGGTCGCCAGTGAGGTGGAAATGCAGTTTGGAGTGACCCCCGATCCACCGGGACTACCAACAGACCACTCTGCAAGGGAAGGGACGGGCCAGCCAAGCCGCCCTCAAGCTCTAATGTTTCTACGGACAACCCGGGTGACAGTGGGCAAACGTTCATCGCTTGCCACAGACAACCGTGAGTGGGCAGGGGGCTACCGTTTTAGGTCCCCTTAATCTTAAGTCAGGGAGGTGAGTCTTACCCTCGGGACAAGGATAAAAGTAGTGGGGGTAGATGTGACGGGTAGTGTCAAGGGTTGGGCTGACGTCCTCAATAAGCGCCCTATTTTACGGGCCGTCTCCCGTTCTCTAGCAGTCCGCTGAGAGGAGAGTAGCAGGTAGGGCGCTAACTGGTAGGTTGTTTGTGATGGGGGAAATTGGCAGCTCACAGATCTCAACCTTGCAGGTTTTGCAGGCCGAGCAGAGTCCCTTCGGACGTCGTTGGGGAGGGTTTAGCTCCTCAGCCTTTCCAGGTGGCGCACAAACTGCTGTTTTGGCGTATTCAGGTACGAGTGGCGATTAGCAATTGTAACCAGCTGATATCCTAACATTGTATGCGTCCCGCGCTCGGGTTTTGTTTTGGGTACTTGCCTACTGTTGTTTTTATTTATTTCGAGCGGGGGGTGCCCGATGTGTGGAGGAATAGCGTGGGTATTAGATCAGATTTTAGCATGTGGTGTGATATTGCATGAACGGTTTTTAATGCACTTTGTTTTGCTGTTGCGTGAGTGAGTTGCAGTGTGTGTGTGTGTGTGTGTTTGTGTTTGTGTGTGTGTGTGTGTGTGTGTGTTGCATGTTTATAGGTTGCACGGGTGATTAGATGAACTGGGGGATTCGCTGCCTCCACACAGACGCTCGCCCTACCCTCACCGTGTTTAGGGACCCGGGCAAGTACACAGATCCGTGATAAGCTGTCAGCCAAATTAGAATAGTTTTACGGTGTTTGTGTTTACTGCGGTACTAATAAATTATTGTTTTGTACCACAATATGATCTCTGTTCCTTGAGTAAACCGAACCTGTATTGTTCAGTCCGGCTCAAGGACTTCCCCCGCTTATGATAGAAAAAAGACCCTGGTGTTATTCCAGTTGTTAGAAGTAAAACAGCTCCCCCCCCCCCCTACTTGGTGTCACACAAGCATGTGTAGACACACACGCACATAGCGGCACGCACAGCAACCACAGCATCAGTGATATCACACCGTGTTCCAGCCCCAATGTAAAGACCTAGAGATAATTGGCCTCTTCTTATAGATCTTTCTAGAGACTGTAAACGATGATGATGATGATGATGAACGTCTGCACGCAGTTTGGCCTCTGAAGCAGGACGGAGAGCAACAGCCTGTCTTAATGCTAACGAGCACTTAATGCTAATAACTTCTTTATCAGTTCTCATGAACAGAACAACAAACACAAAGAAAAGACGTCCGAATCAGAATCATATCACGTGTTTAAAGCCAAAGATCAGATCCACAAAAAAATGGAGCAAATATCACTTTGAGATATTCTCAATAAAACCTACGTACATTAGCCATTAGCTCCAGTGCTGCTAGCATTACCAGCTCTCCTCCTGCCGGTTTTAAAAAGATGAGTTTGAGATGAGCGACTAGAAACCATTAAAGTTATAATGTAATTTCCAGATACATTTTGAATACGAGCTCATCTGTGTTTATCATCTATGTTAACCATTAGAGTGAGTTACCACAGCAGCCAAAGACCAGCTACATGTCACTAATAGTGTCCTCTGTAAAACTTCATTTTGGGTTGGAGACTAGACATTTTGACGGTGTTGACCATTTAATATAATAATAAAATATGCTTTAAAAAAGCATAAATACAGCAATAATAATTATAAAGTAAATTGGCCACTATAGTGACTTGTTGGAACTGTAAATGAAGCTCACTGTATCCAACACGGTCCTTATTTATTTATTTTGAGGAATGTAAACTTCTGGTCCTTCATGTCTATAAACCCCTCAGCATACTGTACGTACTACTGTACAAACACAACAGTGTATAAAATACAAGGCTGTGTAATGTCAAGCCCTCAGTTGGGCTCATCTTATTGTGTTCGTTACAGAGTAATCACGTACGGGAAGCAGGAAGGCGCAGAATACCACAAACATCTTTGCACCAATAGAAAGATCCCACAGAAGAAAATGTTCCACTTGACTGGCCAATCACATTGAACACTTTGTCTTCAAAGGCATCACATCTTTGGGTAAAATCAGTCTGTCTGTTAACTTTCGGTCATCATCACTCATGGACGGGCTGCACACTTTTCTAGTCGCTCTCTTAGGTAAGTCTATGGAGACTTATTTTGGATGTTTTAATTACGCTCTCATTGTTGTTGTGTTGAGCAGAAATCTGCCCCTGCTGTAATGTGAAATCATCCAACACGGAGCACATTTCAATCTGCTTTTACCATTTTCTCTGTTTTCCAGGAGTTGCATCCTGCAGTCATGATTGGATCTCTGGATCAGTGACAGTCAGACCAGGAGACAACATCACGCTCTACTGTGATTGTAAACTATCAACTGGAGTATCCATAGTGTGGTACAGGAACTGCTCTCATGAGAACCAGCCTCCTCTCGTCCTTAAAGTCAAATCATCATACAATCTGGACAGTGACACTAAAGATTATCTGAAAGTTCTTCATCATTTTCAATTTGTGAGAAACTCTTCTTCTCATTCTTATGACCTGCTGATCATGAACATCACTGATTCTGATGAGGGAATCTACTACTGTGGAACTGAACAGAGTAAAGTGGAGGATAAAGAATGCATTGGCCCCACAACTCTTTACAGAAACGGAAACGTCACAACAAGGATCTCAATCAGTAAGTTGGCTGCTCTAACTTTGTTCCTGTTAGATCTATGTTGTATGATTTGACTAAACATTTAACACCTTGAAGGAAAATGTACACAGGCTCTATATTTACTTACATTAACGATTAATAAGGTGAACCAATATGACGTCTTACAGAAAGATTATGGGAATCAACAACAGACAATATGAAATAAAACAGTATAATGCTTTATACCAGTAATTATATTCCCAAATCTGAGACTTTATGAATCTGAAGAGTTCTCGGTCATCCTTAAATGTGAACTGTACTGTATTTTTATGAATGTTAATGAGGTTTGGGATCATTGAAAATTTTAAATCTGAGGCTCCATCACAATTAAAGGTTGGACATTTCACTTAATTCTAAATTGTTTGGACATTTTTGCACAAATAATAATGCCAATATAGTATATATCTTTTTCTGCTCAATGAAAAGTGTGAATTCTTAACAATCTCGGCTGAACTTTATTCAAACAAGTCAAAACAACAGTTTTTTCATTCCTGGTGCTTTATGCACATGTAAAAAGGTTTGTTCAGGAACCAAAGGCCTGTATGTTTATATATTTAATAAAGAAAAACATATATATTTCGTTTGTGTTCTGAACAAAGCTAAAGCATCAACATGACTATTGTGCCAACATGTATCCATACAGTGTTTAGTCTCATCGTTGTGGGTCAGAGTTTAATGACGCTTATTGACACAACTTTGTTTCAGGTCCAGACTGCAGTGATTCTCCGCTCCAGACTCCAGAATGTCTCTGTCCTCTGTGTTGGACTCTGCTGGTCTCTCTGTGTCCAGCTATTGCTGTCCTCTCCTCCGTCTTCTCCTCTCTTCTAGTTTATCATCTGTGTCAGAAAAAAGGTAACTACTGTATGCCGCTCCTTAAGAGCTAAATGTAAGAAATGTCATTGATCTACTGAATTCATTTCTACCACAAAGACACCTGAAGTCTCTTCTTTGGATCCGTGTTTGAGTGTTGATGCACCACGCTGTCTGTACTGATGTTGTATTGATTTCTGCAGCTCCACAACCTGATCAGCAAACACCTCAAAGAAGACAGCATGGGGTAGGTGCAACACAAGAAAGTACTGATTCATGGCAATAAATCAGTACACGGTCACGATTCTAAAGAACAAATGTCAAATTTCAGGATGAAGATGTGTGCTATGCTGCACTGGAAATCCAACAGACATCACACAGACCAAAGAAGAAGAAAATCCAGAGTTCTGACTTCAGCACCTATTCTGCCATCAATACTTCGAGGATGTAGAGTGTAAAAAAGAAAAATAACAACCACGACTCTACAACATCTAATGATGGGATCACAGCACCTATAACACCGACCAGCAAAGGCCTTCAACTTAAGCAGAACATGTCTCCATTGACAAAACAAGGACAATAAAATTGAGACGCCCGGCCGTCAGTCCTGTCAGAACAACACTGCATCTAAACTGAATTCAGGAGAAGATATTTACACCCAATGAATTTCATCTTTGCTGGTTAGTTTGCTATTTAGATTTAAGTTCCAAATTGATCAGATGGGCACATTAACATACAGACAGAAAACCTCTTAGTTGTTGTTGTTGATCACAATCCAGCTTCAAGTTCACATTTTCAATGGATATCAACATTTCATGACGGTGATGATTGTGTTTCCATCAAGAGACACGAAATCTGTTTTCAGATCATTTTCAGTTTTTATATCTAGTTTGCCATCAGCCCCACACATGCCTTTAACGGCATGGTGAGATACAATGACTGAGTAGCTTAATAACAGGAAACCCACAGTGACAAACAGCTCGTCATTCGGCCGCAGAGCTCAACAGACTGAAGCTGTGGACCAGTGACTGCTGAAGTGTAATCCGTGGAAATATATAAAGTTTTTTAAATTGTTCTCGTTGTAAGAGTCTCCACTCGCTCACTGAAAAGAATGCTCGTTTGTCAATTAGATGTATTTATGTCCAACGACCCTCTCAGCTACACTAAGGTTATTTCTGTCATATGTGTGACCACATCCTGACTGTGAGATGCTCTGCTCTGCACGCGGGCGTCTTTTGCTTGCAGGCAGCGTGCAGTATGGTTTCACCGCGGTCAGTGGGCTCACAGGCTCACTCGACATCGGCCGTTTGTCTGAACAACGTAGTGCAGCACTTTTGGATGGACGATGATTTCTTGCAGTGAGAGAAAATTCTGGGATTACAAAAAAAAGGGAAACGAGAGTAACATCTGGCCACACCAGAGGAACTCTGCTGGCCTCTATTGAAAAGGTTAAATGATGAAGCAAATAATGTGAAATAAGAAGCTGAACAAACTAAATGACACTGAGCTAAATCCTGATTGTACGTTTGCTACAGCTGCTGGATTCTATTACTGCATTCATTGGCTCTGACCGGCTGGCCAATTAGTGTGACAATATCTGATTCCTGTAAGTTAATTAACTTTATTTGCAGGGAAGAAGTAATGTAACTGTTTATAGTCTATAAGAAAACACTTACTAGAAGACATGTCATTGTTCAGCACAGTGACCAAATATTTAAATAAAGGTTTGAATAAAGGAAAAACCTAAAACAGGATTGGGTACATTGCCTATACATTTGAACCATGTTAACTTTAAACATTTAACTTGTGTGTTTAATCCAGCAGATTCATCAATGCACAAGTGAACCTGTTTGCACTGGTTTCCTAAATGAAAAGTACACTTTTAAAGTAATACATGTGATACTTGAATATAAACTAACAAGCTAAAACGTTTAACTGTTTAATACATTTTTCATCTTTGTCAGTTGTGAGATGATCGAGATGTTAAAACAAACATTAATCAAACTGCAAACCTACAATGTCTCTTTAGAGATTTCCCGTGTACAGCAGTATATGAGGAGGCCTTGTGTATTAGCTAGCACAGCTGGTAGATCACTTCTGGATGGAGACGTTCTCTACGGCTTTTTCTAATCTCTCCAACTTCCTTACTTGAACCTCTTTTATCATACATTGATTTCAAGCAAGGCCCAGCCGGTCGGTCATGTGGGTGAGGGGGTGAGTGTGGGGATGGGCAAAAGCAAAAAGACGGCGGCGTCGGGGTCATGAGTCTCGGGATCGTTACTGGCCAAGTCGGGGTCATGAGCCTCTGGGCCGGTACTGGCGGCGTCGGGGTCATGAGTCTCGGGACCGGTACTGGCGGCGTCTGGGTCATGAGTCTCGGGACCGGTACTGGACAAGTCGGGGTCATAAGTCTCGGGACCGGTACTGGCGGCGTCTGGGTCATGAGTCTTGGGGCCGGTACTGGACAAGTCGGGGTCATGAGTCTCGGGACCGGTACTGGCGGCGTCTGGGTCATGAGTCTCTGGGCCGTATGATGCGTCGTGAGGTCATGAGTCTCGGGACCGGTACTGGTGGCGTCTGGGTCATGAGTCTCGGGACCGTTACTGGCGGCGTCGGGGTCATGAGTCTCGGGACCGGTACTGGCCAAGTCGGGGTCATGAGTCTCGGGACCGGTACTGGCGGCGTCTGGGTCATGAGTCTCGGGACCGGTACTGGCGGCGTCTGGGTCATGAGTCTCGGGACCGGTACTGGACAAGTCTGGGTCATGAGTCTCGGGACCGGTACTGGCGGCGTCTGGGTCATGAGTCTCTGGGCCGTTACTGGCGGCCTCGGGGTCATGAGTCTCGGGACCGGTACTGGTGGCGTCTGGGTCATGAGTCTCGGGACCGGTACTGGCGGCGTCGGGGTCATGAGTCTCGGGACCGGTACTGGCGGCGTCGGGGTCATGAGTCTCGGGACCGGTACTGGCCAAGTCGGGGTCATGAGTCTCAACCCCATGCTGTTGTATAAGTCTAAAGACTGTACTATTTTACAGCCAATGTGACAAACCCAAAACTTCCACTAAACATGAATGATATAGGTGACAATATTTCTTTGGTCCCTAAAGTGTTCCATTTTACATTTGTCTAACATCTAACTTCAGCACCTACTCTGGCATCAACACTCTACACAAGGATGTAACATTTCCTTATGGCTGTGAAGACTGTTTATCTGTAACAAGACATAATTGCTGTTTTCAGGCAGTTTCCTGTACATATCACAAGCTAGAATCCACCCAGACGCTATAGAGTTTGTGACCTCAAGAATATGTCATGATGTATGGCGTTATATTTGTGCCACAATACTGAGCGCGTAATTTTAACTTTTGAGCACAGAGAACTATATTTTAGCAAAGAAAAACATTCCGTGCGCGCAGTTTACTGAGGTGCCCTCGCCACAAACTGGTTTTCTGGGCGCAGGCAGCCGTTGCTGCGCTCGCTCCACCTCTTCACGCTGCGCTCGCTCGACGTTTCACTCACGCGCTCGCTCGACTTGCAGCAGCGTTACATTTGTGCCACAAAACCAACCAATCAGAGAATTAAAGAAGGTCAATTGTGATTGGCTGTTGGTCTCCAATCACAACGCTAGTAGAACTACCTACAGCATCGCGGAAGCTCAGCGAGTTGTTGAGGTTTGCAGCATTTGTGCTAAATGCTAATGGCCTGGATTAAAACACTTGGTGTTCACATCATTTGCTTCATGTCTGATGGTGGCTAGTCGGACTTCTAATATCACTCGTTTTCGTCTTCTTTAGGAAGCGTTGTGATTGGAGACCAACAGCCAATCACAATTGACCTTCTTTAATTCTCTGATTGGTTGGTTTTGTGGCACAAATGTAACGCTGCTGCAAGTCGAGCGAGCGCGTGAGTGAACCGTCGAGCGAGCGCAGAGTGAAGAGGTGGAGAGAGCGCAGCAACGGCTGCCTGCGCCCAGAAAACCAGTTTGTGGCGAGGGCACCTCAGTAAACTGCGCGCACGGAATATGTTTTTCTTTGCTAAAATATAGTTTTCTGTGCTCAAAACTTAAAATTACGCGCTCAGGATTGTGGCACAAATATAACGCCATAATGATGGAGCCTCATTCTGTTACACATCATACAGAGCCAAGATGGCTGCTGTTTTCCCCAAGATGTCCTGAACAAACAGAACGAGGTCAAGGGCCATCTTGATTTGAAATTGATATGCAATGTTGAAATACACTACTACAAAATATTTCCAACTGTATGCAAAGACGAGGTCAGTCCGCTGGGTGGCTGTTTCACTAATTAAAGACTGAACAGGACCTACAAACAAGAGTACGGTTTACTCCTTAAACAGTTGATTTAGGCCAAGATGCCGCCTCCAGCAGATGGTTGATGACAGTTTAGGATGATGGGGTGCAACAAGTAGGCCACTACCTGGACACGCGCGTGTGGAGACATTTTGTCAATGTAAATCTAAAATCCAAAAATTGGTTATTACATAATCAAAATGAATTTCAAAAGTGAGGTTTAAATTAATAACTATTATTTGGAAAATCCTTCTTTTATATAGACTTGCATGAGAGGTCAGATTTAGTCAAACTGCAGCAGCGGGCTGAAATGGAAACAAGTAAAAGTATAAAGTAAAAGTAAATAAACGTTCATGACACAGGATATGGAAACACACCTTCATCCAGGTCTCGTTTTCTTCTCATACAGCCACCAAACAGCAGTCACACAAAGCAGTTTATTTGTGGCCAGTAGATCAACAGAGAATCAGAGGCTGAACGAGGAAACAGCATGAAGTGTGGACGTCAATGCAGGCATGTGTAGACACACACGCACATAGCGGTACCTCAGCAACCACAGCATCAGTGATATCACACCGTGTTCCAGCCCCAATATAAAGACAAGTGTGTTTGATAGTTCCCACCATGAAGCTTTGACACTGTGTGTTTCTATCCGTCCTCTGAGATGATGTGTGTGAACGTAGACCAACACACGTCTCCTGTTGTTGTGTTTAGGTGGTCAAACCTCCAAAATTATCAATTGTCTCATTTTTAGAAGAGCCATAAACTGTCTTTTGGTAATCATTGATACTTGGCCTCTTCTTATAGATCTTTCTAGAGACTGTAAACGATGATGATGATGATGAACGTCTGCACGCAGTTTGGCCTCTGAAGCAAGACGGAGAGCAACAGCTTGTCAAGCTATGCAAAGACATCGACAACATGCTAGTCACTCAATGCTAACAACTTCTTTATCAGTTCTTATGAACAGAACAAACACAACAAAATTACATCAGGATGTCAATCATATCACGTGTTTAAAGCCGAAAATCCACAAAAAAAGGGAGCAAAGATCACTTATTGAGAAAATCTCAATAAAAACTCCGTACATTAGCCGTTAGCTCCAGTGCTGCTAGCATTACCAGCTCTCCTCCTGACACAACAGTGTATGAAATACAAGGCTGTGTAATGTCACGCCCTCAGTTGGGCTCATCTTATTGTGTTCGTTACAGAGTAATCACGTACGGGAAGCAGGAAGGCGCAGAATACCACAAACATCTTTGTTTAGATGAAAAAAACACCAATAGAAAAAAACAGAAGAAGAAAATGTTCCACTTGACTGGCCAATCACATTGAACACTTTGTCTTCAAAGGCATCACATCTTTGGGTAAAATCAGTCGGTCTGTTAACTTTCGGTCATCATCACTCATGGACGGGCTGCACACTTTTCTAGTCGCTCTCTTAGGTAAGTCTATGGAGACTTATTTTGGATGTTTTAATTACGCTCTCATTGTTGTTGTGTTGAGCAGAAATCTGCCCCTGCTGTAATGTGAAATCATCCAACACGGAGCACATTTCAATCTGCTTTTACCATTTTCTCTGTTTTCCAGGAGTTGCATCCTGCAGTCATGATTGGATCTCTGGATCAGTGACAGTCAGACCAGGAGACAACATCACTCTCTACTGTGATTGTCAACTATCAACTGGATTATCCATAGTGTGGTACAGGAACTGCTCTCATGAGAACCAGCCTCCTCTCGTCCTTAAAGCACTTGATGCCGGACTCACATTAGGATACAATCCGGACAGTGACACTAAAGGTCCTCTGAAAATTCTTCCTCGTTTTCAATTTGTGAGAAACTCTTCTTCTAATTCTTATGACCTGCTGATCATGAACATCACTGATTCTGATGAGGGAATCTACTACTGTGGAACTGAAGAGAGTAAAGTGGAGGATAAAGAATTCATTGGCCCCAAAACTCTTTACAGAAACGGAAACGTCACAACAAGGATCTCAATCAGTAAGTTTGCTGCTCTGACTTTGTTCCTGTTAGATCTACGTTGTATGATTTGACTAAACATTTAACACCTTGAAGGAAAATGTACACAGGCTCTATATTTACTTACATTAACGATTAAAATGTCAATATGACGTCTTACAGAAAGATTATGGGAATCAACAACAGACAATATGAAATAAAACAGTATAATGCTTTATACCAGTAATTATATTCCCAAATCTGAGACTTTATGAATCTGAAGAGTTCTCGGTCATCCTTAAATGTGAACTGTACTGTATTTTTATGAATGTTAATGAGGTTTGGGATCATTGAGCATTTTAAATCTGAGGCTCCATCACAATTAAAGGTTGGACATTTCACTTAATTCTGAATTGTTTGGACATTCTTGCACAAATAATAATGCCAATATAGTATATATCTTTTTCTGCTCAATCAAAAGTTTGAATTCTTAACAATCTCTGCTGAACTTTATTCAAACAAGTCAAAACAACAGTGTTTTCATTCCTGGCGCTTTATGCACATGTAAAAAGGTTTGTTCAGGAACCAAAGGCCTGTACGTTTATATATTTAATAAAGAAAAACATATATATTTTGTTTGTGTTCTGAACAAAGCTAAAGCATCAACATGACTATTGTGCCAACATGTATCCATACAGTGTTTAGTCTCATCGTTGTGGGTCAGAGTTTAATGACGCTTATTGACACAACTTTGTTTCAGGTTCAGACTGCAGCGATTCTCCGCTCCAGACTCCAGAATGTCTCTGTCCTCTGTGTTGGACTCTGCTGGTCTCTCTGTGTCCAGCTATTGCTGTCCTCTCCTCCGTCTTCTCCTTCATGTTGGTTTATCACTTCGGTCAGAAAACAGGTGTTTTAACTGCTTTGGTTTCCAATCAGATTTTGTTAAATCATTCATGTAAACATTTAGGGAAGCTGTCTTTAAATCTCGTTATTTGCAAACAGATATTTTGAAATGACACTGTATCTTTTTTTGTTTGCAGACAAAGAATCTCAAACTCTCCAGAAGAGACCAAACATGATGGGACAAACTATAGAGGGCCAGGTAGTAGACTGTACCCATTTGGGGTATTTATATACTTTGCAGTTGCTTTAATTCTTCTCAGACACATTTCCATGCTATAAAAGCAAAACAGAAGAATAAGATACTTGAAAATAACAAATGTCTCTTTGTTACTCAGGGTGAAGATGCGTGTTTCACTCGAGTTGTGTTCCGGGCTGTGGAGATAAAAAAACACCAGTAGGCAGAAGATGGACGACACGTTTGTTTCACTCAAGCAGGAACCGAACAGAATGAAATGATTTGCATTTCCTCTCGTTTGCTGTTGATGGAGAGTTGTGTGGTTTTTTGTATCGGACAGATACATAAACATACAGTATATATTTTCTTTATTAATCTGTTTAATATGTACTTTTCTAACTTTTCTAACTTTGTATCCATTTTTATCCACATGCTTATAGCTACCTTGCTTTTATTCTTGATTTGTAAGCAATTCAAGGCACGGCAAGGCAATTTTATTTGTATAGCGCTTTTCATACACAAGGCAGACTCAAAGTGCTTCACATCATAACATTTCATACAATAAAGTGAAATAAAATGCAGGAATTAAAAACAGAAAATAAAATTAATAATTAAAATCTTATTTAAATTGTTTAATTAAAGGCAGAGGTTAAAAGTGCAATGTAGGTAAAATTTAGCAGAAGGCGAAGCTGAACATAAGTTTTCAGTCTCTTTTTAAACGTGGTCAGAGTTGGGGCTTAAAGTCTTAAAACTTCAGGAAGTTTGTTCCAGCTGTTTGTTGCGTAGTAACTAAATGATGCTTTCCCATGATTTGTATTTACTCTGGGAATCACTAACAGATTGGTGTCAGAAGATCTTAGTGATCTTGAAGGCTTATGTAGTGGAAGCATATCAGTGATATACTTTGGCCCTAAAGCATGTAGTGATTTATATGTGAGCAGTAGGATTTTGAAATTAATTCTCTGACATACTGGGTTGTACAATTTTACAATATTTTCTTTAAGTATGCAAATAAAACAAAATAGTATGAAAGTACTGAATATATATACAAATTGATGTCTGTGACATCTCATTACATAATGTGATTGCTGAATAAAATAATACTCCTTGTCCTTGTGATGAGCAAAGATTCCATGTAACTTTTTACTGTCTGTTTTACAGTTCAAACAATAAAAAATATGGAAATGACATGTTCTTTTTTTGTTTTTTGTTCAAAACCATAAATGAGAAAAAGGAAATGAACAGCCGTTTTTCCACTGTTCTATGAATCGAAAACGAAAAACAACCCTTCGTCTTTTCTTTCTATAAAAAAAGAAATGCAAAGCGCAACAGTTATTCCAGAAGAACATTTTGACAGTAAAAGTCAACACAATAGAAGGTTTGTATGATAGAAATTCTCATAGTCAGTCATGCAAGCTTATAGTGCAACATTATAAGATAATTAATGACTATAAATAAACAATCCTGTGCTGATGGGAGTGTGTTAGCAACAGTTATCGACTAGTTCCATGCAGATTCAGTCAGACTCCTTAATTGCACTATTACCACTATCTGCACTTTCATCCCATATACAGTACGAGTCAAAGGTTTGGAAGCGTTTTCTCACTCAATCCAACGACAAAAGTGTGTCCAAACTCCTGACTGGTACTTTTTATTAAAAATATATATACATAAATATCTATAAAATATATTTTTAAACCTATAAAGCATGTATATGATCAACCCTCACCACATACTAGTGAACAAAGGCACGCTAAGCGCACATCAGGTGAACCTTGTGGTCAAGCCGATAGCAGTGGTGTTGCTCTGCATGCACACAGCTTCACTCCTTGATGACAGTGGGCTCCAGGTCCACAAGGGCCGCTCTTGGGACGTGTTGTCCGGCTCCGGTCTCACTCAGGAAAGTGTTGAAGGAGTCGTCTCCTCCTCCGATGGTCTTCCCACTGGGCCTCTGTCCGTCCGACTGGGTCCCATGCTCCAGGCAGTAGAGCTCCCAGCAGGCATTGCCAATATGGACACCGGCTTTACCAACATGGATGTACATACTCATGAGAACATTTTTTGGGGTAATTGTAGTAAAGAAACTACAATTATTTTGCACAAGGCCGGCTTGGTTCTTTCACGTTCCAATTTGATCAAATGGTACTCAAGGAAACTCCTCTCATGTAAAAAACTGCTAAATTAAAGACTGAATGTCAGAGTCAGAGTCAGTCAGTGGGGGACCGACTCTGTTGATGAGTCCGACTGCCGTTGGGAAGAAACTGTTGGTGTGGCGGGAGGTCTTAGTCCTGATGGACCTCAGCCTCCTGCCAGATTGAAGGGGCACAAACAGGTTTTGGTCCGGTGTGAGAGGGGTCGGCCACCATCTTTTTAGCTCGCTTCAGAGACCTGGAGGCGAACAAGTCCTGCCGGGACGGTAGATTGCAGCCGATCAGCCTCTCTGCAGAGCGGAGGACGGATGTTCCAGCATCTCCTTGCTGACAAACCGTGTCACAAGAAAGGGAAACAGGGGAGCTGCTGGACTGACTGGCTGACAGCGTGACGCGTCATGCATCACAGAGGAAGAGACAGAGTTACTCCACCTACTCTGCCAAAATTGATTTGTGATGGACACACACAATAGACAGAAAATGAAGCAATACCATTGAAAGCTGAGGACACACATACACACGTTATTGCTTACTTGTGTGCATGGGTGTCATCCGTGCAACTAGTGTTAAAAAATGAACATCCAGACAGGTTGGTTCAGAGGGGGGCTTGGGTGGGCTTGAGGCGGTAGTACTTCTTCTGAGAAGTAACCACACAATACTGAGAGGCAACAACTTTAACTGACAACGTTCTGCCCGCCGTGTGATCAGGCCACAGGAAACCCACAGAGAAAAACGCACATCCGTGCAAGTGGACTACATTTGCAGCTCACACTGCTGCAAGACACACGGATGAGAACACTAATGCAGGGTACCAGCAAGACCTCCAAGAAGAAGGTATGGTCTTCCTACAGCTGGAGAAATACAAGGCCGAGCACCATCAGCAGCAGCTCAGTCACATACAATGAGACGACACATGAAGTACCTCAGGTTGTCACACTGCACCAAATCCAAAGATCCAAGGGCTCTGTCGTGACATTCAGAGAGTATAGTAGACACAGATGAACCGATTGGTATTAGGACTTTTCTTTCACTGTTTTTCTTTCAGTGCACGCAAACAGAATACCAGCCTGGACTTCAGAACCAACAAAAGCACGGGTCAGGAGGCCGGGTGGGTCATCTCCTCTCTTCTAGTTTATCATCTGTGTCAGAAAAAAGGTAACTACTGTATGCCGCTCCTTAAGAGCTAAATGTAAGAAATGTCATTGATGATCTACTGAATGAATTTCTACCACAAAGACACCTGAAGTCTCTTCTTTTGATCCGTGTTTGAGTGTTGATGCACCACGCTGTCTGTACTGATGTTGTATTGATTTCTGCAGCTCCACAACCTGATCAGCAAACACCTCAAAGAAGACAGCATGGGGTAGGTGCAACACAAGAAAGTACTGATTCATGGCAATAAATCAGTACACGGTCACGATTCTAAAGAACAAATGTCAAATTTCAGGATGAAGATGTGTGCTATGCTGCACTGGAAATCCAACAGACATCACACAGACCAAAGAAGAAGTTCTGACTTCAGCACCTACTCTGGCATCAACACTCTACACAAGGATGTAGAGTCTAAAAAAGGAAAATAACAACCACAATTGTTACGTTCCCTGCTCTCAGGCAACGTAACAAAAACAAACGCGAGGGAAAATAAGGAAACTATTAGAGAATAATCAAGAATGTATTAGTTTTAAACATTGTGGCAGCCAAACCAGCCACATGCCTCTTTCCCTCTCCCGATCCCCCTGGATGATGGTTTTAAAGGGGCCGGCGCTGATGGTGCACCCAATCAAGATGGACCCCCAACTAAGCCTTCTGCTGGGCTGCCTGCAGAACACGGAAAAGAAAGATACACAGGCCACCAACAATGGTCAGGGATGACAACATCTAACAATTTGAACATTTGGAGTCAAATAGACCATAGGGAGAAATATGCTTTAGGGCGGGGCTAACTGTGATTGACGGACTACAAATCAATTTCCAACCTATTTTGATTGACTTCTTCCCCACTTACTCTGAGGAGCACTGTAAACTCCTCACATCCCTCCATTTTTGACTGGACTAGGAGTTTTCCCACCTTCAAACCTTTCCCACGGTGTCATTTCTGTTAAGGGATATCGACCATTCTGTCACTTATCTTCCGCCATTTAAATCTGACAGGCAATCCTTATTTATGGCTTGTATATTACCTACAACATGTTTTGCCGAAAATACTGTTTGCTTAATTTCCTCACAACACTTTTAATAAATATAACTTTTTAAAAACCTTTCAGAGAGAAAAACAGTTTGTTAACAGTTAGCTAGAATCCACCCAGACGCTATAGAGTTTGTGACCTCAAGAATATGTCATGATGTATGGCGTTATATTTGTGCCACAATACTGAGCGCGTAATTTTAACTTTTGAGCACAGAGAACTATATTTTAGCAAAGAAAAACATATTCCGTGCGCGCAGTTTACTGAGGTGCCCTCGCCACAAACTGGTTTTCTGGGCGCAGGCAGCCGTTGCTGCGCTCGCTCCACCTCTTCACGCTGCGCTCGCTCGACGTTTCACTCACGCGCTCGCTCGACTTGCAGCAGCGTTACATTTGTGCCACAAAACCAACCAATCAGAGAATTAAAGAAGGTCAATTGTGATTGGCTGTTGGTCTCCAATCACAACGCTAGTAGAACTACCTACAGCATCGCGGAAGCTCAGCGAGTTGTTGAGGTTTGCAGCATTTGTGCTAAATGCTAATGGCCTGGATTAAAACACTTGGTGTTGTCACGACCTGGCTCTTTGGGCCATGACAAGATTGGAGTTACACTGGTTTCCGAGGTGTAACATTCTTTATTTAACACACAAAACAACGAAAAACCATAACCATTCCAGATGGGATGCGAATGTCAGTATTATCAGTAGTGTAGGATGTGCATGAGGGTAAAGTGTAAATGGTGGGTGTTGTCCAGGGCATTTAACCCAAAGGAAAACCGGATTCAACAGGCGGCTGCCCTACCACACCGGACGTCTGCTGGAGAGAGAAGAGAGCGACAGAATCAATGAATGAACACAGGGCTTTCTAATCTCAGGGCACCTGGCCCAGGTGCCTTCAATCACCAAATCTCATTGGAAGGCTGCTGCCTCCACAGCAGGGGTCGTCACACCTCCCCCCTTAAGACGGGGTCCCGACAGGGATCACCGCAAATTCCAAAAACAACAACAACAAAAACATACTACCTTAGCACCCTTCACATTGAACCTACGCCCCAGCTCTGCAACCAGGTACCTAAAAGAAGCATTTTAAGAGAGACGAGAACAAAGTGAAGAATGACAGGAGTTACATTTCATGATCACAATATTAACCCGGACCACTACAATTCAGACCATTTAGCCCACAGGGGCACGAGAAAAAGCATCTGCCATTATATTGTCTCTGCCTTTAATGTGCCTGATGTCTAAATTATGACTTTGCAGAAACAAAGTCCACCGCATCAGACGTTGGTTTGGGCAGTGCAGCGAACTCAAAAATGTCAAAGGGTTATGATCGGTATACACAACTACTGGTTTTCCCCCCGTACCGACATAAACTTCAAAATGCTGCAGCGCCCAAATAAGTGCCAGCGCTTCCTTCTCTATTGTTGAATAGTTCCTCTGATATGAATTAAACTTCTTCGAGAAGTAACACACAGGTTTATCAATTCCCCCCTCCTCCTGCAATAACACCGCCCCTGCGCCCACTTGACTGGCATCTGTCAGGATCTTAAACGGTTCATCCAAACATGGTGCAGCCAGGACTGGAGCCAAGCACAGGAGGGCTTTCACATTCTCAAAGGCACCTTGACAGAGAGGAGACCACACAAATTTCACCTTGCCCTTCAACAGATCAGTTAGTGGCGCGACCACCGACGAAAAGTTTTTACAAAAACTCCTATAATAGCCGACCAAGCCAAGGAACCGCATCAACTCTTTTTTCGTACTGGGGGCAGGAAACTGCACCACAGCTCTGATTTTTGCATCAACCGGACGCACGTGCCCCTGTCCGACCACTCGCCCAAGATATGTCACCGTCGCCCTGGCAAACTCACACTTTGCCAGATTGACTGTGAGTCGTGCCTCAGCTAATCGACTGAACAAAGCACGGACACGCTGGACATGATTATCCCACCGGTTACTGAAGACGACTACATCGTCAAGATACACCGCACAGCCTTCAAGTCCTGCCACAACCATGTTCATTAAGCGCTGAAAAGTCGCAGGTGCATTCCGTAGCCCAAAACTCATCACCGTGTACTCATACAGCCCAGTAGGGGTAATAAATGCGGAAATCTCCCTAGCACGAGAAGATAAAGGAACTTGCCAGTACCCTTTCAATAAGTCAAACTTGCTCACAAATTTTGCTGCACCAACCTGGTCTATGCAGTCCTCCATTCGAGGTAATGGGAATGAATCTGACTTAGTGACCTTGTTTACTTTCCGATAGTCAGTACAGAATCTAGGAGACTTGTCAGACTTATCAACCAGCAGACAGGGTGACGCCCAACTGGATGACGATGGAATTGCCATGTTGTTGTCCAGCATGTATTTGATCTCAGCTGCCATCACTTTCTGTCGGTGTGGTGCACACCTATAGAAACTCTGTTTGATTGGTGTACTGCCCCCAACATCAATGTCATGTTCTATCAGGTGTGTGCGTGACGGTGTATCACCAAACAGGCCTGGATACTCCTTGATCACCTCAGTCAACTCACTGCTTTGAACATCAGATAAGAACAACCAGACTTTGAGGTTGGTAAAGGCCCCACACAATCTATGATCAAATGCTCAAATGGTTGACTTATTGCTGGAATGGGACAGAGAGGTGCTGGCTTGATTGACTGACTCGGCTTGCCTGTGAGCTGACATGTATGACACGATTTTATGTAATTGGAGACATCACGCTTCAACTTCGGCCAAAAGAAGTATCTCAAAACGCGGTCATAAGTTTTCCTCACCCCCAAATGGCCGGATTCGTCATGTGCAATCTTTAATACCCCGACACGGAATTTTTCAGGCACCACAATTTGAAATACAGGCTCACCAACAAAATCACCTTTACAAGGCACCCATTTCCTCACAAGCAACCCATCCTGGAGAAAATAGCCAAGAGCCACATTTCCAACCTCATTTTCAGGCAAAACATTGGTCAACAAACCAGACAGACGGATCAACCTGCTGCCTTTCAACCCACTCCAGCCGAGGGACGGAAGGGGGAAGATCAGGTAAAGGAATCATCAGTTTCGTCCCGCTTTGCTCTGCACTAACGTCTGAAACGGTCTTAGCACGCTGCGCACGGGTCACTGCGCAGGCTGGAAACACATCTGGATATCTCTGACCACAGTCATCCGGCCCAGAAATTACCATTAACTCTGGCGCAACCACAGGAGATGGCGGCACAGAAGGCCAGACTGCCCCACCAGCCAGGTCATTGCCTAGAATCATCTCTACCCCATCAATTGGCAATGCTGGAAGCACACCCACTGCAATAATGCCTTGCACCAGGTCACAATGAAACACCATCTTGTGCCGCGGTACAGGTACCAAACCCATCTCCATACCCTGCATCAGAATAAAATCCCCAGTTTCTGTTGCAGGTGAAAAAGGCAATGCTGATCCCAAAATGAAGGAATGCTTAGCACCTGTATCTCTCAAAATCTTTATAGGCACACGCTCCTCACTTCCCACCAGAGAAACTAGAGCATCAGCAATGAACGGCTCAAAATCACTCTCTGGACCGACACATACACGACTTGGCCCCTCCACACTGGAACAAGCCAGAGCTATTCCAGTTTCATTTTTTCTGTTTGCTGCCGAACCTTTTCGATTTGAATCTGCCGCTCAGTTTCCAAGTTTAACCGGATCATCAGCAGCTCCTTCTGCTGCTCAAAAGTCAGCCCCGACATGGGTGCAGACACAGGTGTTGCCACAGCTGCCACGTCCGACAAATACTCCTCCGTCCTCAAAACACCACTTTCCACTAAAGCGGACAGAACAACAGCTTTCACCTCAGCCTTAAGTTTGACATTAGTCACATCAATAGTATAATGCTCGGCTATCTGGAGCAACTGTTCTTTAGTACAGCCATTAATGAACACCTCAGAGGGCGCATCAAAAAAACCCGACAAGGAAGACATAGACCAAACAGAACGCACCGTATTACCCCCCAAACGCACACAAACGAAGGCAACTTGCCCCGCGGAGTATTCCCCCTAACTGCCTAGTCCAAACTCTTACTAAACTCACCTAGTCTTCATGCAGCTTGCGGTGGGTAATTACGCACTGGAAACCAGCAGGTCTGAGAAGTCACCCACAAGTAGGCCACAACGCAGGATCCCACGGACGTGCTCCCGAGACAACCGTCCATAGACAGCTGACACTAACCACGTTGCCACAACACTACAAAAAAAACTGACGTAACCCAAAGGGGAGACACCACTATAACCTGACAGGGAAACTCCAAACAGCGCATCAGGGCGGCAACACGTACTTTCTCTTTGGACCACGCGTAATCGACTTCGCGAAAGAGAAAAAAAAACCTCTAATCTAAACGCTTCCACAACCAGAACTACAACGGACCAAAGAACTACAACGAACCAGAGCTACAACGGACCAACGAACCAGAGCTACAACTACAACGGACCAACGAACCAGAGCTACAACTACAACGGACCAACGAACCAGAGCTACAACTACAACGGACCAACGAACCAGAGCTACAACTACAACGGACCAACGAACCAGAGCTACAACTACAACGGACCAACGAACCAGAGCTACAACTACAACGGACCAACGAACCAGAGCTACAACTACAACGGACCAAAGAACTACAACGAACCAGAGCTACAACTACAACGGACCAAAGAACTACAACGGACCAACGAACCACCACACCAAACGCGCACCAACCGCTCACAGCTGATCCACACAAAAACACGCGTCACACGAAATCTACACACTTGATCATCAAACAAATCACTGACCAGAATTGGACGAGCCCCCATTTGTCACGACCTGGCTCTTTGGGCCATGACAAGATTGGAGTTACACTGGTTTCCGAGGTGTAACATTCTTTATTTAACACACAAAACAACGAAAAACCATAACCATTCCAGATGGGATGCGAATGTCAGTATTATCAGTAGTGTAGGATGTGCATGAGGGTAAAGTGTAAATGGTGGGTGTTGTCCAGGGCATTTAACCCAAAGGAAAACCGGATTCAACAGGCGGCTGCCCTACCACACCGGACGTCTG